GTATGTCTGCGGACTTACAACGCTATAAACCGAGTTTCGATACCCGTGGTGGACAGAGCACATATAGCCCAGTATGTAGCTTTGTGCTTAATTTCAAACAAACAAATTAAACAGCTCATAATTTACAATTACACTAATAAATTATTTTTGTCACAATTTAACAAGTAAAGAAAAATTGAAGATAAGAAAGTTAAGATTACTAATTTGTTATTACATTGAAAAAAATGTTCAGATATGAGCACTATCCAAGGACACTGATTCTGGGTAGTGAAGGAGGGTCAGTTTCCCCCTTCAAGAATACCAGAAAACTCAGATTTTCGTGTTTACTGCGTGTGTGCTGTAAAAACTATAGTGCAATCCAACTTTTACTCTGTGTGTTCTTAAAAACTATAGTATACTTCAATGCCAGGTCACACATTTTTGCATTTTTACTTTAGAGAGATTTGAGAATTTGTTCCTCTCCTCTAAATGAAATCTCAACTGACATTGCTGGCTCTATCCACACAAATTCTAGAACATTTAAAATTTTTGAAACAGTTAACTTCGAATATCTTCATGTTTAACTCTGATTCGGTATAATTTGCCCACAGCCTGCATTTTTATTAAAATATTATATCAAAAACATGGTGAAGTTTCAATATCCCCAATTTATTGACACAAAACTTGAAACGTCATCTAGGTTCTAATGTTTTTAACACTGTTTTCAAAAGTTATTTCATCCAAACAATTAATTTGTTTCAGATAACGCTGAGGAGGTGTCGCCAATAACTTTTACTTACTGATTAATTGCATAAACATTTGCTTCAAATTTATAATTTAAAGCATAATATGCATCCAAATGTCAGATTTATCCCAGTAATCAGATAACTGTTGTAACTTTTAAGGATTACCTCAAACCTAAAAACTAAGTTATCATTTACATCACAGGTGCTCGTGGATATTCACTACATGTAATTTTGTAGACTCTTATATAACTAAGGTGTTTAACCGCCTTAAATCAACAAGAAAAAAAAGGAAGTCTAATAAATTATCACTGGAATAGCGGAAATATTAGTACCAAAATTATCTCTTTCCAAATGCTTTGGTAATAAGATCTGTTTGTTTGAGCTACGCCTGTTAAACATTGTGACGAGAAACAGTATTTCGCTGAAAGTGCAAAAAAAATAAAATAAATGTTTCCTTGACCATTTCGTAAGTACGATGTATTACTGCTCTGAATAATGTCTGAATTACATGAAACATTTATCTTTAGGTATATCTAACTTCGCTTCTACAAGAAACCTGTTCTCCGTGATGAAGTAATCCTGAACTTCTTAATCTTGATGTGAGAAGGTTATATATCACACTTAGAAACCGGTAATAAACTACAGCTCACGCCATTTACATATTTCAGAATATATCACCGATCCACACTTCTTTCAAATAGAACTAGAACACTAAATCTACATCCTACCTTGTTAAGCATCCAAGATTTTATCTTTTTCTTGCTACATTGTTTCACTTCATCCTCTTTCTTTGAATAAATCCTTTTTTTTCCACTGGGATATGACAGATACAAATAAAACTATTGGGGATTTAAAGGATCTTTTTATAAGTATTTTTCAATGAGAAAAGCAAACGGATTAGTGGAAAAAAAAAGTTGTATGCATGAACAGAGTACATCAGGATCGTTATTTGTGTAATTATAAGGACCACTATGTTTAGTTTTGTCAAAAGTGCGGTAAATTAGAAACACGGTACTGGGATAACTGTATATTAATGAACACTGAAAGTCACGGTTCTTCCGGTGTTCGAGGCTATGACCGACAGAAATCTGAACTGCTTTTGACACTAATGTTTTATGGTAAATCCATCACTGAAACCGCCCACGTGTGCCTGTCATCAAACAGGGTAAAAGTTTGCAAACAAATGCCAAGTCTTAAGCTCTTGGGTAATATGAGTAGTTGGGACATTCAGTTGATACCTTTCAGTTGAAGACCTTTTTTTGTTGTTGTTGTTCTTTTTTTGACAGCCTTGGATCAAACACAACGTGATCTTCTGTCATGCCACACGACGTATTCCAGACAAAGTGCTGAGTTCCTAGTGTTGCCGGTAACCCCAAACCTACACGTTTGTAAAGACTCTGATTTGGAAGAGTCCATTCTTAAAAATGGGGAGTATACGTTCACAAATTTGACGTTGTCTTCATCTTATCGCTTTTTCAGGCGGAAGTAAATATAGCTACGAGTTATTTTTGATGTATATATATCTATTTTTTTTTCTAAAACAAAGCCTTAAACTTTTCCTAAACATACAAGTATCTTATAATTGCATACTTTATTGACATTTAGAGAAGTTATTTGTAAAAAAAATCAGAAAATAATCTTCCTTGTTGTTTTGATTAGAAACCTAACGCAATCTTTAGTATAAAAGTAGATTGTGCGTTATGGCACATGGAATCTTAAAGTGGTTTACTTATAGAAGCGTCTAAGACTTCCATCGTATTGTACTAAATATGCTTTTTTAGTTTTGAAAAGGACCTAAACATAAAGTTATGTTCAGTTACTAATTTGTGGGGAATTTAAACATCGCTTTAAATGGCCCGCTGGGTTCACAGAATTACCAGTCAAACCTGAATATTAATATATATTTGAAATAAAGCCAAAAAGAAGGCCACCCCTTCATCTTCTTAATCATATAGACTTATCTATACATACGAAATAAAATTCGTCTACACCAGTACTATAAGAGTGGTCTGAATGTCTTATTTGTCCAGTGTTTTATGTTGAAGACAACAACCTTGCCTCAACTTGGTTAATATATACGGTTCTGCGGCCCATCCAATGGAAACAAGAGGGAATCCTCAATAGCCGCGACATTTGAAATTATTTTATATAGGATTAGAATAGATTAATCTATGAGACTTTAGGCATGGTCAAATACATCAACCAAAAGAGTTTGACCTCCTGATTCCAAAACTGCAATTATATCTCAAATCGGTTAAGAGATGACGGGACTATGAGATAAAAGTTTGTACTTGAAAAAAAGAAAAAAACTCAGAGCCATTCTATGAGCCGTTATGCCGCGGCTAAAAATCTCTGTTGTACCTATACAGGATGCAAATGACCTCTTTATAAACTCTTGTATGGTACCAGCTATAAATGAATAATGTCATTTCTAAAAGTTTGATTGTCAGCATACGTATTGATCTATTTGTAAACAAAAGAGAGAGAAAGAGAGCGTGTAACACTTAGCGGTACGAACCTATATTTGTAAGTGATTCCATTTGGTTAACTTATGTTAACATTTTATGTTAATTTCTCACATTAGATCAAAGGTGGATTTTTCTTGATTTTCACCCGAAGGTTTTATTCTCCAAAGACTAACATAAACTATCAGTATAAACTTAGTTTAATTATTCTGCTCATATGAAGCATGTTAAACAATTTGGTGGATCTTTTTTAGTCTTTTATTTTGTTGTTAAGTTCATCAGAAGAGGAATATTTTCTTCTAATTTCTTGTTAAAATCCTGCAAGGTTTAATATGCTGTAGCTGGTCCTTGCCGAACTGGGGAATTTCATTTCTTGGTAACTTGAAACATGTTGTTATATCAAGCAAAAAAAAAAAAATTATATGTCAAGAATTATTTTATTGATTACGATTTTTGTAACCTATAACCTGTCGTCTTAACGTTATTTTTTTGAAAAATAAATCCTTCTACATCAGTATATTTAAAAATAGAGACTACCTTCTGTAGTCAGAAAAATGTTTCCAATTTTGTAAGAAGACAGAGGATTATAAAGAATTCTTTCATCGTGAATGGATATATAGGGACCGTTCTATATTTGAACTTTGAAACATTTTATTTATTATTTATAATGTTCATGTTTGTAATTAATCTTTCAAAGAGACATTTTGCAGTGAATCTTGATATTTTGTTTAAAAACATTTACCCTAATACAATGGATATCGAAGGGTTTATTTTTCAACTAATAAAACACTTTTAAATACATAGATGGTCCACTGAAAACAAGTTATACATAACTTTCGAACAAACTTTGAATTGATTTCAACGACAGGAAGCAAAGTTTTCCTAAATAATTAGATTGAATGCCTGATGTATTAATGTGTAAATGTTGGAAATAGAACAAAGTTTGAGGTCATATAATCCGATGACGTAAAGTTAATAATCTATACCAAAATACAAAGAATTCTAAACATTATAGTTTGTTTGTTTTTTTTGCGCATGACACATAGAAGCCTTTAAGAATAATATAAGTTGCATTATATAAGGTATCAACTTCTAATACGACGTTATATATATCTAAAAATTCACTTGAAGCCATAGCTTGGCAAACATTACAACCTTTCACAGTACGTATTTCAGGAAAAACATTAAAAATAATACACTAATCAAAATAATTTATGCTTTCAGTGCAGTGTCAAACTATTTTAAAAACGTTGAGGTTTTATAGAAAATGATAACGAGTCATGAAATATCTATTTTTTTTTCTTTTGAGTAAAAATAATGAACATCAAATATATATCGAAATAATAAGCATTAGAAGCAGTCATATAATTGAAATGTTTATTTTTAATTGACCATACAGCTGCATACAACTGTTTTATTATTACAGGACAGCATTGTGGTGCGATGTGATTTCGCAGATAACAGTTCTTAACATTTGCTTTTCGTTTCATATTTTCCACTTCTTGGATTATATTTATCTATAAACGAGTATCCGTGGGGGAAAATAAGAACGTGGTGACGTCATGTGTCAACCCAACTTTCTAAGAGCTAAACATAGAGTATTTCTTTAGGCCCTTTAGACTGTCGGCAACAAGAACGATTTCCTGTTTAACAACCAAGTAATTTTCTTTGCTACACCATCTTACAATTAACAAACAGAAATCACAGAAGGAGACTCCGATGTTACCATGATAAGTAACAACAAAGTTGTTATACTAACAACCAATAAGGGGGTTGCCTAGAAACGGCAGGTCTGCATCTCGCTACTCACCTCATCATTTTTATCTCGAAGTTCCATCACGTTTTCCGTCGTGTCTTCTACTTCATTAATCCGTGCAAATAATTCCTGTTCTCCCGATCTGCAGACCTTCAATCCCTGTAGATTAGACAAGATACAAAACAAATAAAGACGAGTTGATGTGAGATAAGAAAACGAAATTCACGATCTTCGGAATTAAATTAATATGATTGTCTATAAAACCATCTCTACTGGCTCGACTACAACCATCTTATTTATCTGATTGTCTATAAAACCTTATTAAACTGATTGTCTGTATAATCATCTTGACTACAACCATATGCATGCGCAAGTGTGTATTTGGGTAATTACGCGCGCAGGTGCGTATATTGGAACATGCGTGCGCATATGCATATTTGGGTACATGAACGCGTAGGTGCGTATTTGAGTACATGTGCGTACAGGCGCATATTCAGGTATATGCGCACGCATATGCATACTTGGGTATATGCGCGTGCAGGTGCGTATTTGAATACATGCGAACGCGTATTCGGATATTGGTACATGCGCGTGCATATGCGTATTTGGGTACAGGTGCATATATTGGTCCATGCGCACGCAGGAGCGTATATTGATTGCTACATGCGCGCGCTTATATGTAGTTGGCTACATGCGCGCGCTGTATACTAAATTTGCTGTGTATGTAGCTGAAAAAAAAAGAAACTTTAGCTGTTCATTGTTATTCTTGCAACTGATGATGTAAATAGTGCCTCGTATGTTGTATCTTAACCGGCACGATGAATCCTGGTATTATGATAAACGCCTCATTGGACTGGATATGAAGTACTTATCGCCACAAGAATTTTGTCTGGCTCCTGAAACCTAATAAAGGAATTGACTGTCACTGTGTATTCAGAAACATCGCGTCTTGAACCTTCCGATCTGCAGCCTGACCTCCAACTTTCGGAAAAAACATTTTATAGTGTTAGAATTTTTTTCAATTTCATACAGTGTTTTAATAGCAGTTTGACATTGTAATAGTTTGTTTCAGAATTTCGCAAAGTTACTCAAGGGCTGGCTATCTGCGAATAGTCCACCCTAATTATAAACTGATAGATTAGAGCAGCGTTTATCAATCTGTGGTTAGCAAGCTCCATTCAGGTGGGTGATTCATTTATGAATTTGTGGTTAGCAAGCTCCATTCAGGTGGGTGATTCATTTATCAATCTGTGGTTAGCAAGCTCCATTCAGGTGGGTGATTCGTTTATCAATCTGTGGTTAGCAAGCTCCATTCAGGTGGGTGATTCGTTTGAGATGTTACATAATTACTGAAAGGAAACGGCAGCATAGTGTATAAAATCCCATTACAATTTTCGCGCGGGCCTAAACAAAGGCTATGCACATAGCCGTCACTAATGTTGACTTGGTAGACTCGAGGAAAGGCAGCAAGTCAACAGCACCTATCGCCAGATCTCGTACGATCGAATAGTGGCCTAAGTGCGAAAAGCGTTTCTGCTATAACAGTACAGGAACTAAGAAACCTCGGATTCACAGTTCGAGTAGACTAACCACTAGGTTACACCCGGCCCACATCATAAAGTGTTTCGCAAAGGACAAATAAACAATTACTTTATAGGACAGTTACCTTGGATTTTAAATGATCTGGAAAAACAAAAACAAAATACATTTAATAAATAAGTATTGTTTATAGGAGTTACAAATTACTGAGAGAGAGAGAAAATAAGCCCATTGGTAAATAAAAACTGTTCAAATAAACTTGTCAAATACGTTTTGCTATGACCTTACTGGGTAGCTAAGAGAATAATAAATAGCTTTAATACAGAATACCCCAAACATATATTGAAGATAGTTTTAATTCTAGATAGAAACTTGCAAATTTTACTCAGTGAATTTCCATGGTAATTAGAGTGAACAATGGCACAGCACAAGCATTTAAAGTATGTAATCGTACTTGATGTACACACATGCAATTTGTTCGAGTCACAATATGACTCTGATTCACTTAAATTATGATTCGTTTATTTCAATATTTGATAACCGTGATTTTGCTTTCACTTTTATCTTTACAAATACACAATAATGGAGCTTTCTGGAAAATATATTTCCATAACAATGCATTAAAATATGACCTTCCAGTTACTATATTTTCTATGATACGCAATTTTCTTATACATAGATTTTCATCGCGATAAACCCTGGCAGATTTTACGAAAAACCTAAACTAAAGGTTCTCGAGTTTAAATTTTTACACTTATTTGATTAAAAACTGAAATGAGCGTTAAAATCACACGTATAAATTTAAAATCACTTTATATATATATTTTTGAAAGCTATAGCAAAAGATAAAATTTTGTGTTTCAACTAATTAACAACAAATACGGAAGCATTCTGTAATCTTTTACTACATTCGCGAAACCATTCAACATCAACTAATTCTTTAAAAAAAGAACTCATTCAAATCTAATAAAATGTATACAATTTGCATAGTTTGCTAAACCAGATTTCTTTTTTTTGGGGGGGGGGTCCCGCTTATTTTCAATAAAGTTTTCTTTGATTTGGAAGACAACAGTTACGAATGGAATTACTGAGCCATATCATTTTTCAAAATATCAACGATTTGAAACTTTGTTATACAACGTGTATTATATCTGTTATAAGATATTCTTGCGAAGTTTACGTGCAGGACATTTAAGATTTGAGTATTCGACTTTTTAAATTTCTTTAGAGTAGACTACGTAATATTTGAATTCAGGGAACATCTAAGTTCGAAAAATTCCAATGGAGGTTTATAAGATTCTTCGGTTATTCTTATAGACGATGGAGAAACGAGAAGATAATTCCGATGATAATCAAGTATAATAAGACAACTATGTTTTTATGTCCCCATAGTGTCTACGACATTCTATTACAATATCGTATTAGAAATGTTGGATATATACACTTCTAGCTTCTAATAAAGATTCTAACGTTGAAGCAGGAACAGTTTGTTGCTGTCAGGTGTTACTGTATTTGCATATTCCTTGGGAAGGGATTAGCAAACAGAACTTGAACGTTATAATTTTAAAACAGAAATAGAATTCACTGTTATCTGTGCTTTAATTGTTTAGCAATATGAAACATAAAAACAAGCATGTCCAAATGATAGTAATAACCAGAAGGGGATTTTTTTCTAACACAGAAAGCAGCACTATGGTGTAAATTAACCAGTGTTTTTATATTGAAACTGATACACTTGGTGTGATAAGTAAAGAACAAATTAGTATTCTGAAGCTGCGTATAGCGTCTTCCTCTTAATATATATACAGTTTGTTTATTGTTAAGCACAAAGCTACACAATGGGATATCTGTGCTCTGCCAACCATGAGTATTGAGACTTGGTTTTTAGCGTTATAAGCCTTTAGACTTACCACTGAGTCACTGAGGAGCTAGATATACGAAAACTCGCAGCAAAGTAAGAATGAATCTGTTGTGTCAGATCTAATTTGTATCTATATTCAGTAATACACTATTTGTGCATTAAGCAATGACTTAAATAGAAATGGATTTTCATTTTGTAAAAAGAACATTGACCAACAACTTGCGTGTCACTTATTAAAATTTACAAACTCATAATTGTAGTTCTAAAATATATTTTCTATTGGATAATCTCAAATGAAGCCAAACATGTTACACAAATGTCTAAAATTACAACGTATCAACATTAGTTACACATAAAATCCTGAAAAATATACACATATATTCATATATCAAGAAAATGCCCAGTATACATATGTCTTAAAGACTCATGAGTAATCTAAAAAAAAGTAAAGTTTAAGTATTTTAAACAACTTACAACATACCCTTAAAACAATGCAACAATAAAATGTTATTTCAATATTGAATATATTTTCAACATAATCCTGAGATTACTAATGCTGTAGTAGCTTTGTTTACACGCATATGTAAGATGGCGTTAGAGCATAGACTATAATCACTAAACTCTGTTTGATATTAGTTTTATTTAAAATGATAGTGTTAGCAACTATAGCTATTATAAAATGATATCTCGAAGACGATATATACCTAGCATGATATATATATACGCTACATAGCGACGCTTAAAAGTGTAAGTATGTGGATGACGGAAGCTGTGTGTGTGTATATATATATTTATATATGTGAATTATATATATGCATGTATAAAGCACATAGCGACGGTTGAAGGTGTAGAATATAGACATGTAGAATGACTAACGAAGGTACTGCTCAGTGATGTCTTATTTGTATTTAGGAAGGACAGATGATGTAAGTAGGCAATATTTGTCCTACGGCAGCTGTATGAGAAAACTAATATCAAACAAGACCTGAGCATGGTAATTATCGATCAAGAAAGGTATTTATTTGATCAGGTGAACTGAGAAAAGCTATGGTCAGTGATGGAGAATTACTATATCAAGGGACAGCTACTCTGCAGCGTTGGAGTCCTACACGAGACAATAAGAGTGCTGTCAGGACAAGGAATGGTCTTACAGAGTGGTTCCAAGTAGCATCAGGAGTGATACAAGGATGTGTGTTATCCTCACTAATGTTCGAAATCTATCTGTACAGAATAACCAAACAAGATAACCCTATACCATAAGAAAACAATGAGGTTCTCTTTGCAGACACCAAGAAGACACAAACAAACTAAATTAATCTTGTGTGAAATATGGAATGATAATCATTGCAACAACATCACAAACGATGGTCATCAGCCGATCTCCCAAGTTCCTCAAGTCAACAATAACAACCTTAACCAAACCAAACAGTTCAAGTACTTTGGCAACATATTTATAGTAGATGGAAGATAATCACGAGATAGAAACACAATGTCTTAATATAAACAATGTTAGCTACCAGTTGGCTCCACCCATCCAGCAACATCAATGGACACTAAACGTAAACTCTTTAAAACAATCTTCATTTAAGCTCTTTTTTTTATCAATGTAAGATATAGATCATGAATTAGTAAAAAAAAACAGATAAAGGGAAAACGATCGACACAAGGCAGCAAATAAAACGGGAAGGGAAAAAAATCATTAATAGGGTCACCTGAGACATGGTTGGAGTAAAGCCAGTTAAAAACCAAATAGTCATGT